TACATAGTAAAAATTAATATAAATGTGACATTAAATTAAAAACAATCAAGAACAGTGGCGTAAAAGAGGAGGTGTCTTTGACCTCTTTCTTCTTCTTCTTCTCCTCACACTTCTCTCTCCAGAATTCAATGGCTTCTCACTGAGGGGAATTTCCTTCCCTCACAGCAGCCCAAGGGGGGAGGGGCAGAGTAGAAAACCTACATTTAGAACAGCCAATCAGCGGATTAGCAGCACTCCTCTCATCCAATCAGTGAGGCACTGGTGAGGAGGGGGCAGAGCCTAATTGGGACTTGAGTGAGGACTTTGGGCCTTCATTTTCCTGGCAGCCCTGAAAATGGTTGTGTGTTGTCATCTTTTTGTACACCTAGTTGCAGGCCTGTAGCTAGAAAAAAATAAATCAGGAGGGGTTGAAAGGGGTTGAAAAATGTTATGTTCATTTGTGGGATTAACATAACTCAAAAACCACTGGGCAAATTGGCATAAAATTTGGACACAGTACGCCTATCAGGCAAATGAGTGACCATCTATCTATCTATATCTATATCTATCTATATATCTATATCTTGTTGTTCATTTGTTCAGTTGTCTCCGACTCTTCGTGACCTCATGGACCAGCCCACGCCAGAGCTCCCTGTCGGCCGTCACCACCCCCAGCTCCTTCAAGGTCAGTCCAGTCACTTCAAGGATGCCATCCATCCATCTTGCCCTTGGTCGGCCCCTCTTCCTTTGCCTTCCACTTTCCCCAGCATAATTGTCTTCTCTAGGCTTTCCTGTCTCCTCATGATGTGGCCAAAGTACTTCAACTTTGTCTCTAGTATCTTTCCCCCCAGTGAGCAGCCGGGCTTTATTTCCTGGAGGATGGACTGGTTGGATCTTCTCGCAGTCCAAGGCACTCTCAGAACTTTCCTCCAACACCACAGCTCAAAAGCATCTATCTTCCTTCGCTCAGCCTTCCCTAAGGTCCAGCTCTCACATCCGTAGGTTACTACAGGGAATACCATGGCTTTGACTAGGCGGATCTTTGTTGCCAGTCTGATGTCTCTACTCTTTACTATTTTATCGAGACTGGACATTGCTCTCCTCCCAAGAAGTAAGCGTCCTCTGATTTCCTGGCCACAGTCTGCATCTGCAGTAATCTTTGCGCCTAGAAATACAAAGTCTGTCACGGCCTGCACATTTTCTCCCTCTATTTTCCAGTTGTCAATCATTCTATATCTATATCTATATATATCTCTATATATCTATCTATCTATCTATCTATCTATCTATCTATCTATCTATCTATCTATCTATCTATCTATCTATCTGAAGCACCATCACTCAAAAAGTTATGATTTTGTCATTTGGGAGTTGTAGTTGCTGGGATTTATAGTTCACCTACAATCACAGAGCATTCTGAACTCCATCAACGATGGAATTGAACCAAACTTGGCACACAAAACTCCCATAACCAACAGAAAATACTAGAAGGGTTTGGTGGGCATTGACCTTGAGTTTGGGAGTTGTGGTTCACCTACATCCAGAAAGCACTGTGGACTCAAACAATGATGGATCTGGACCAAACTTGGCACAAGCACTCAATACCCAAATATGAACACAGATGGAGTTTGGGGAAAATAGACCTTGACATTTGGGAGTTGTAGTCACTGGGATTCACAGTTCACCTACAATCAAAGAGCATTCTGAACTCCACCAATGATGGAATTGAACCAAACTTGGCACACAGAACACCCACGACCAACAGAAAACACGACAATGGTTTGGTGGGCCTTGCCCTTGAGTTTGGGAGTTGCAGTTCATCTACATCCAGAAAGCACTGTGGACTCAAACAATGATGGATCTGAACTATACTTGGCACACATATTCCATATGTCCAAATATGAACACAGATGAAGTTTGAGGGGAACAGACTTTGACGTTTGAGAGTTGTAGTTACTGGGATTTATAGTTCACCTACAATAAAAGAGCATTCTGAACCCCACCAACGACAGAATTGGGGCAAACTTCCCACACAGAACTCCCATGACCAACAGAAAATACTTAAGGCCATCCAGTCCAGCTCCCTTCACCAGGGCAAGAAAACGTAATCAAAGCCCTCCTGACAAAGAGCCATCCAGCCATAGATATAGATAGATATGGTTCACACACACACATAGTATCATAGATTTGAAAGGGACCCCTAAAGAAGGACAATTATACATTGCATGTTCCAGAGTAGGCAAACCAGACAATCTCCACATCAACACTGACAAAGAAACAGCAAGAAATACTGTTTACCCACAAGCAGAAAGACATTACATAGATTAGAAACCAACACTTTTTCATTACTTTATTTTCCAGATCACCAAACTTGGCCACAGCAACGCGTGGCAGGGGACAGCTAGTCACTCATAAAAACACTGAAAAACACAACGGAAGAGACTTAAATAGCCAAATAAATAAATAAATAAATAAAACATTACAACACATGGGCAAAACCACATATACACATATGCACAAACATACACACACACATATACACATTTATGCACACACAAAACACATATACACAGACTGGACCACAGTAACTCGTGGCAGGGGACAGTTAGTCTCTCATAAAAACACTGAAAAACACAACGGAAGAGACTTGAAAAGCCAAAAAACAAAAATTACATTACAACGCATGCGCAAAACCACACACACACACATATATATGCAAACACACATATACACACACAAAAAACACATATACACCGACTGGGCCACAACAATGCTTGGCAGGAGATGGCTAGTCTATATAAATAAAAATGTAATGTTCGTTTATGGGATTAACATAACTCAAAAACCACTGGGCGAATTGACACCAAATTTGGACACAATACACCTCTCAGGCCAACGAGTGACCATTACTTATAAAAACACTGAAAAACACAGCAGAAGAGACTTACAAAGCAAAAAAATTCATTACATTACAATGCATGTGCAAAAGCATATATACTGTATATATGCAAATACACGCATACACATATACACACACAAAACACATATACATATACTGGACCACGCCAACACGTGGCAGGGGACGGCTAGTAATTAATAATTATTTTGTTTTCTTTCAAACTACAATCAAGCAATTGTTGATGTCATGCTTAGAGTAAGTTGGTGAAAGAATATTCCAAGATCTCAAAGTTGATACATCATCTTCCTGGAGAAGCCATCTCCACTGAAGCATTCAAGTTTCCCTTTAATGCACTCATGACCTCCTTAACTGTTGGTTGCCGTAGATCATGTCTCATTCCCAGAATTATGCCACTGATTCTGTTGACCTATTCCCCAGGTAAATATGTAGACATGTTGCAATTGATTATATTTGGAGATTGTTCCTGCTCCCTATCTTGCCAAGCTGTTGCCAGGAAAACATGCCTGTTACTGGAAACCACGTGATAACCAGCATTTCCTGGTTAAATCATAACACATATTGTTTGTCTCAGCTAAGCTTTGCTTCTAGGTCACCTAATGATTACCAAAATCTGTGGATGCTCAAGTCCCATTGTATACAATGGGATAGTAAAATGGTGTCCCTTATAGAAAATGGTAAGATCAAACTTTGTTTTTTTGGAAATTTATTTTTTGGAAAACTTTCAAGCGATGGATGGTTGAATCCATGAATGCAGAATTAATGGATACAGAGGGCTGATTGTACTTACTATGCTTGCCAAGATGTATTCTTAACATAAAACATAAAGGATCTAGAACATGCCAAAAGTTGGAGCATATTTTTGTGTGATTTATGAAGAATCATGTCAATTTTCTCTCTTGTAATATATCTTCCTACGCTACTGGAATGTACAAAATTTACTGGAGACATTTGTAGGACTATTTTTAAGTTGTGAGTATGCACGTGGAATCTATCAAATTTGAGCTTTTTGCAGATAGATACAGTAAATCTTTTGCTGCTACCTGCCTTCACTTTGAACTTCATGCCATGAACGAGAGACCTCCAAGTCATTATCTCATCAACAACCTTTACGCAGGTCTTGAAGACATAATGCCATGGCTTCCCTGACTGAGTCCATCCATCTGGAGTGCAAAATTCCTCCTTTCTGTGCCTTAGAATGGATTTATTTATTGTGTCAGGAGCAAACCACACAGTTGTATTGCATTTATAACAAACAAACAAACAAACCACAAAGTTTGCAGGCTTGGTAGTTGATTAAATGTCCTTTGACCAGTAGCTGGCCACTTGGAGTGCCTCTGGTGTTACTATAAGAAGGTCCTCCATTGTGCATGTGGCAGGGCTCAGGTTGCATTGCAGCAGATAGTTTGGTTTGCTCAGGACGTATTGTTGCCAAATTTGGTGTGATTTCGTTCATTGGTTCTTTTGTTTTTAAGGTACTCATTATGCACCAAGCATTTATATATATATATAGATATATTTCCTAATTTGAGGATCTGATTTCTTGATATAAGTGTTACATAGGATTCCAGGGTTCAGCCAAAAATGGCTGATTTTCAGTAGTTTTCTGGAGTTTGGGGAATTTGTGTGTGGGGGAAGGAGGGATGCAAAATGTCATGTTTTGTGATGATTTCGACCCTTTTCCAGCCAGAGAAAAAAGAAAACATTCTAAAATTTCTTGGTGAACTAGTCAACTTCAGGACATCTGGATGTTTTAAAAGGGCAGAAAATTGGATTTTTTGGGGAGTGGGGTTCATACTCAATCTATTTGTGACACCTTCCATAACCCAGTGTTATTAGGTGTATGTGTGTTTATGTGTGTGTGTAAGAGAGAGAACTTTCAGTTTTTAATCTGAGCTTTACGGATTTCATCAAGCGAAATGTAGTTCATGGAATGTTTGATGATTTCCACATCTCTTAATACACTTTTGAAGAGAAGATGGCACAATACACTGATTAACCGAGGATTTTAAAAAGCATAGAGCATTCCAATGTAGCTCAAACTCCTCCCCATATTCTGATTAAACATTACATTATTGCAAAAGGGCTTGGCTTAGTAACAGACTCTTATAATAAACACTGGGATTGTCACTGCCTCTGGTGTCTGCCCTCCAGTTCATGATGGAGGGGTCCTTTCTCTGCCTGGTGACGGCTTTCCTGGTCAGTTTCCCGACTCCTTCCCAGAGCCAACTGTAAGTATATGGTAATCTGGTAATCTATTCGGGATCTGGTTACATCCCAAATAGATTACTGCAGCGTGCTCTACGTGGGGCTGCCTTTGAAGACGGTTCGGAAACTTCAGCTAGTTTAACGGGCGGGAGCCAGATTACTAACCGGGGGGGGGGGGGATACAGGGAGCATACTACCCCCGTTATGCCAGCTCCACTGGCTGCCAGTCCATCTTCAAGCCCAATTCAAAGTGCTGGTTTTTACCTATAAAGCTCTATATGGTTCTGGCCCAGTTTACTTGTCCGAACACATCCACCCTATGTCCTACCTTGTAATCTAAGATCATCCGGGGAGGCCCTGCTCTCGCTCCCGTCAACAGCACAGATGTGTCTGGCGGGGACGAGAAACAGGGCCTTCTCGGCTGTGGCCCCCTGCCTATGGAACACACTCCCAAATGAGGTAAGATCCGCTCCCTCCCTCCTGGCTTTTAGAAAAAAATTAAAATCATGGTTTTGGGACCAGGCCTTCTGGCAGTAGAAATAAATGTATGCAACATTTTAGAAGGACAATGACTGGAACAGCGATTTGACGGACGAGACTGTTTTATTGTTTTAATTATTGTTTTATTGCTTGTGGATGTATTGTTTTAACTTGATTTATGTCTAATTGTAATGTATAATTGTAATTGTTTGTACTGGCATTAAATTTTGCCATTACTCATGTGTAAACCGCTTTGAGTCCCCCTCGGGGTGAGAAAAGCGGTATACAAATACTGTAAATCTATATAAATAAAAATGTAATGTTCATTTGTGGGACTAACAGAACTCAAAAACCAGTGGGCCAATTGACACCAAATTTGGACAGCATACACCTAACAAACCAATGTATGTCCTTCACTCAAAATTTTTTGATTTTGTCATTTGGGAGTTGTAGTTGCTGGGATTTATAGTTCACCTACAATCAAAGAGCATTCTGAACCCCACCAACAATGGAATTAAACTAAACGTGGTATAACAGGACTCCCATGACCAACAGAAAACACTAGAAGGGTTTGGTGAGCATTGACCTTGAGTTTGGGAGTTGTAGTTCACCTACATCCAGAGCGCACTTTGGGCTCAAACGATGGATCTGGACCAGACTTGCCACGAATATTCCATATGCCCAAATATGAACACAGATGGAGTTTGGGGAAAATAGATCTTGACATTTGGAAGTTTCTAGTTACTGGGATTTATAGGTCACCTACAATCAAAGAGCGCCCTGAACCCCACAAACAACAGAATTGGGGCAAACTTCCCACACAGAACCCCCATGACCAACAGAAAATACTTAAGGCCATCCAGTCCAACTCCCTTCACCAGGGCAAGAAAATCTAATCAAAGCCCTCCTGACAAAGAGCCATCCAGCCATAGATATAGATAGATATATATGATTGACACACAGAGGGATATAGTATCATAGATTTGAAAGGGAACCCTAAAGAAGGACAGTGATATGTTTCATATTCCAGAGTAGGCAAACCAGAAACTCTCCACATCAACACTGACAAAGAAACAAGAAGAAATATCATTTACCTACAAGCATAAAGAAATTACATAGATTAGAAACCATTACTTTCTTTTCCAGCTCACGAGACTGGGCCACAGCAACGCCTGGCAGGGGACAGCTAGTAATAAATAAATAAATAAACAAACAAATAAATATTTAGCAATCCATCCCATACACTTGCAGTTTGTGTGCTAAATAAGGTCATTGCTCAAGACTGCATTCTCATCTGTTACTATCTCTTTGAAGTTATACATAGAATCATAGTTATACATAGTTGGAAGAGACCACAAGGACCATCCAGTCCAAAAGGCACACACACGCACAAGCAGGATATATTGTTTACATTTTTTCCCAAAGCATTGTGCCTGTGCAGATATGATTCCCTACTCCAATGTGGCTTAGTTATTTCTTTAATACATAACAAATCTGTGTAGGTCTGAAAAGGTTTATAACCATGTGAATGTTATAAATGAATTTTATGAAACTGGAGATGTGCAGTTTTGAAGCATGGATCAAAACTCCTTTTGTTAGGGGATTTGAAGACAGGCTCTTTGTCTGGGGTTTGTGGGCATGCATTTCCTCTTCAGTTCCCCTTGGAATGTGTAGTTCGCCTCTGGAATGTGTAGTTTCCTGGTTGGACTACTGGAAGTGGAGGAAAATGTTAATATTCTGGTATTGTGAAACTTTATGTCATGTAAAAAATAATAAATCTATGGATTTGGAACTCATTTTGAGTATATATTTTTGGATAGTGATCAGTTAGATTCCTGAGGTTAAACATTTACACAGGTCTTGTGGACAGAGGAGATGAGTTAGCAAGGCTAACTATAGGAAAGCTGGCTAGGAGATAGACACTGAAACAGAAACCTGGCAGTCTACTAGGTGCTCTGATACTAGAACTCATAGAATTCCTTATATTGGTTATACTAGGGGTCCTCAAACTTTTTAAATAGAGGGCCAGGTCACAGTCCCTCAAACTGTTGGAGGGCCGGATTATAATTTGAAAAAGACATGAATGAATTCCCATGAACACCGCACATATCTTATTTGTAGTGCAAAAAAACACTATAAAACAACACAATAATTAAAATGAACAATTTTAACAAATATAAACTTAAAAGACAAGTTCCACCTTGTCTCCTGTGCTATCCTAATAATATAATATAATATAATATCTATATCTATATCTTCTATATATATAATAAAGAAGAGTGTTTGTATCGGACAGAGGAAGGGCGGTGTATGTGGCAGCGTTCTGATTGGCTGCCGCTGTGGTGCTATTTGCATATGGTCTCTGATTGGCCAGCTTCAATAGGAGCCCCTGGTGGAGAAGAGGGTTCATGGCAGAAACGGGGCATGACAGAAGGAAATTTGCATATGGTCTCTGATTGGCCAGCCTCAAATCCAACATTCCGAGATGAGAAAGAGAGGAAAGGAAAGGCCGGGGCTGGGTCAGAACACTCCCTATACAGATCGAAATAGGCACACAGAGCCCCCATCACCCACTCTACATCCTACTGCAGTTTGGAGGACTATGAACCATGGATGATGGGACTTGCAGTACCACCACTCACATTCTGAGACCGCTCTCAACCTTATCCAATGACTGATCAGGACCAAACTTCGCACAGAGACCTCTCATGACCCACTTTACGTCCTGGTGTGGTTTGGCCGGGGATGGACCGTGGATTATGGGACTTGCAATACCATTGCTCATTCTTCAGACCACTGCAACCCTCATCCAATTACCAAAAAATACCAAACTTGGCACACTGAGTCTCCATGACGCACTCTACATCCAGGTGCAGTTTGAAGGAGGATGCACCATGGACGATGGGACTTGCAATACCTGCACTCCCTTCCTAAAACCATTATAACTGCCAACAATGATGGATCAGGACCACAATTTACACAGAGAGCCCGCATAACCCACTCTACATCCTGGTGCGGTTTGGAAGAATTTGACAATGGATGATGGGACTTGCAGTCACTTCACTCACTTCCTGAGACCACTGAGACCCTCGCCAATGACTCATCAAGACTAAACTTGGCACATGGAGCTTCAATGACCCACTCTACATCCTGGAGCAGTTTGGAGGACGACAGACCATGGATGATGGGACTTCAAGTACCTCCACTACCCAAGACTGCTGCAAAACTCATCTAATGACCAATCAAGACCAAAGTTGGCACACAGAGCCCCCATGACCCACTCTACATCCTGCTGCAGTTTTGGAGAAGGGTGGACCATGGATGATGGAACTTCCAATACCTTCACTCACATTCTGAGACTTCTGCAAACCTCATCCAATAACGGATCAAGACCAAACTTGGCACATAGACCTCTCATGACCCACTTTACGACCTGGTGTTGTTTGGAAAACTTTGGAGATGGATGATGGGACTTGCAGTACCTTTGCTCACTTCCTGAGACCACTGAGACCCTCGCCAATGACTAATCAAGACTAAACTTGCCACATGGAGCTCCAATGACCCACTCTACATCCTGCTGCAGTTTGGAGGAGGACAGACCATGGATGATGGGACTTCAAGTACCTCCACTCCCTTCCAAAGATTGCTGCAACCCTCTTCTAATGACCAATCAAGACCACACTTGGCACACAGAGCCCCCATGATCCACTCTACATCCTGCTGCAGTTTGAAAGGGGATGGACTTTGGATGATGGGACTTGCACTACCTTCACTCACTTACTGACACCACTGCCACCCTCATCTAATGACTGATAAAGACCAAACTTGGCACACAGAGCCCCCATGACCCACTCTATATCCTGCTGCTGTTTGTAGGAGGATGGCCCATGGATGATGGGACTTCAAGTACCTTCACTCACTTCCTGAAAATAATGCTGCCATTATCCAAAGACCAATAAAGACCAAACTTGGCATACAGAACCGCCATTACCCACTTTCCCTAATAACCCGGGCAACGCCGGGTCCCCAAGCTAGTATATAATAAAGAAGAGTGTTTGTATCGGACAGAGGAAGGGCGGTGTATGTCAGCGTTCTGATATGGTCTGAGGGCAGTAAAGAGACGTTGAGGCGAAGAGGGTAGGCTGAAAGGGGCCTGCGAAGGCAATTGCAGGGGCAGTACCCCACGCGGCCCGGCGGAGATGTGAAGGCACGCGGTCGGCGGGAGCATCCAACAAAACTCTAAACCCGCACCCCGAAATCTGGCGTCCGATGACCAGGACTCCAGGGACCACAGGACAACCTCGAGACGCTACAACTCTCAATGTTGTCACAGGACACTCATACCTTGCATAGCACATAGACCAGCCTGGTTAGGTTTGTCGTGGCAGGGATCAACACCGTTGGATTGTAGACACCTATGCTATGCATCCACTCATCGTCACATCACAACGAAACACTGAGTTCTACAGTATGCCTCTATGTAGCGTTCCCCCCTTCACTGGTCATCCGTGTAGAGGACTGAAGGCCGATGTGGCGCACACCCGCACCCTACGCCCTACGCACCCCAAGCGGGCTCCGCCAATACCGAGAGTCGACCATCATC